CTGGCTCTCCTCACTCATGGAGTCAAGTGGAGAAAGCTTCTACTCTGCTATCCTGCTCCATCTCTCAAAAATAGGGGTTTAACACACAGAAAGAGATTCTTGGCCTGCAGAGCTTGTCCTCACCAAGCCTTTGTCTGTGCTCATCTGAAGCATGCCAGATTTTCAGGTCTTCTTTTTCCCCTTTCCCCCTTGTGCCCCGGTGTAGGTCATTAAATCAGCCCCTGTTAGAGTTGCTCACTGCACACAGAGATACCGCAAGGCTCCTGTGTATTTAGCATTGGACCCTTGTGCCCCGGTGTAGGTCATTAAATCAGCCCCTGTTAGAGTTGCTCACTGCACACAGAGATACCGCAAGGCTCCTGTGTATTTAGCATTGGATGTGCAGTGTTAAGGATGCTTAGAGGGGACACAGGAACACACCCAAGGGACACACCTCTGTCGGGGTCTTGAGTTGGGGCTTGCAGATGTGGGTCAGCTAGGATGTTCCAGGTGGAGGCGGCCACCAAAGGAAGCCTTGTGTTGTGCAAGCACGCAGCAGGGAAGGGACGGTGGGGTGGGCTGAGATGTCAGAATCGTCTCAGAGCACGAGGTCACTCTGTGAAGCTAAGGCATTGGAGCATCATCCCAAAGTTGTGACAGTTCTCTGAAGTGTCCACAAGGTGGAGAGTGGTCAGACGTGGGCTGGCACTGTCCATTCTTTCAACCAATGGGTATTTATTGAGTGCCGACCACGTGCCTGGCAGCGTTCGAGGCTCCAAGGATTCCTGAATATCGACACAAACCAACATCCTCACCCGCACCGGGGCCCTAAACTGAGGTGGTAAAATACGAAGAATGAACAGCACAAATAAATAGTGTATGGATGATATGAAACATGGAGAGGGGCAAGGAAGTTGGGAGTGGTGGCGTCTCATTGAGAGGAAACACCGAGTGGGGACTTAGCAAGAGGCCACAGCCCTGCTGCACCAGATGTCACAGGAGTAAGGTGTTTGTGGGGACCTGAGATCCTTTCATGGGCCTGGCGAAGGTGAGGGATGAGACACGGTTTATGGCACTGTCCTCACGGTGCCTGCACCCTGCTGTGTTTGTTTCAGTGGCTTTCCAGGTTGGGGTGTGGGCACCTCACATTTATCTCACTGCAGAGCTGTGGTGAGGGGAGCTGGCAGCCATGTGAGCTGGGTCTTGCTTTTTCTGTGCTTCTGGCTCTGGGTCATAGCTACTCTTGGAGTCAGACGCGCTACCGTTGCGCCACGAGGTCCCTCATAGCTACTCTTGTATTGAGTGTGGGTCACGCATGTTTGTCACTCTTCTTTGAGTATGACGTCAGAGATGTACGTACAGCATTGTCATCTTAGAGGTCAAAGAGATGGGAATTATATCCCAACAGTTAGAGTCACATACATGCAAAGAGTCCCGGTCCCAGCACCCAGCTCCTTCCTCCTGGCCAGCACTGCTTACCGTTTCTGTGTCTAAATCCAGTTCTGAGAGTTTTCTTTCTTTACTTAGGAGCATGATTTCAGTCTCTTCATGCTTGATCTCTTGTATGAGGTTAGAGACCTCGTTTTGACACTCTTAATTTTCACAAGGAAAAAGAAAATCCTGGTAGTATGATCATATAGTCTATATTAATGGGGTAAGGAAGGTGTTTTTAGCTCAATTTCTTAAGTAGCATAGAAAACGTGAGAGAAATACCTCTTATAAATTTTTGCCTGGATTCACTTCCAAATACTTGAGTAAAGACAAAATAAAAACAAAAGCAAACCTGAAAAAGACAATTTGTAGTACAAAGATAGTTAATGGGACAGACCTGGGAGAGTACTAAGAATCATTTCATATTGACTCTGTGAGCTAGATGTGCTTTGTTGTTCTCTAGAGATCTTTGAAAATCTGAATTTCTTTTTATTGAATTTGAAAGAAAGCTGCTGCATGGCCCATTTTGTCAGTGACCTGCCCTGTGCTGGCTCAGCAGGAGTGGATTGTGGTGGTTGCTGAATGCTGGTTTTTCTTAGGCTTTGCAGCATGTCTGCAAAGGGCCCAAGAAACCTCTTGCCTTACTCATCACCCCAGTGCAATCTCAGATGCTGTCTGGTGTGGCAAGTCCACCTGCAGTGGGGAAGGGAGCTGACCTCTCCCATACAGGCCCCAGGAGGGGGAAGAAGAGAATCATTTTTGCTTCTTTGCAGAAGGGACATGGAAGTAGAATGGAATGGAGGACACTGTGTGTGAGAGATGCTCTGAGTGCCTGGTCACTGCCATTGTCGTCCTCATGGGCCCTGTTCCTTCCTGATCCCACTCAGGGACTGGTGGGGCCAGTGTGGCCACTGCTCCTAAGACACCTTCTGTTTCCTATTTGTACTTTAGGTGGATTCCAAAGAAAAAGAGCCTCCTAAAAGTGACAGCATACCACCTAAAACACAGGAGTCGGTTTATTATGCCAAAGAAGGGAGGGAGAAAACCTCAGTAGAAACTTTAGTCCAAAGGGGTGGTGCAGGTAAGGTGAAATTTCATTTTGCCCTAGGCAGTGAAAATGCCACCAGGATAGATGAGTTGTATGCGTGTGTGTTTGTGTGTTAGATGAAGTTCGTGCCACAGAACTACCTGATTTATTAATCAAATGCTCAGTGTGTAGAGCAGTAGTAGGCAGAGCAGAAAAACAAAATTCCAAAGATGAAGGCGATGGAATTCTCTAAGAAGGAAGTCTCCAAAATGAGGTATTTAAGATCAGTTCTAGAGTTCATGTGCACATCACAGCTCTGTCTATTCTTCCTGTGATGACTGATGACACAGAAAATTACAAGCCGCCTCCTGAGGGACACATGGACTTGGAAGCTGTCTACATTATTCAAATGTACCTTTTGAGAACAAGAGAAATTTAAAAGATGAATCTTCAAATTGGCTATAAAATGAAGTAATTTAAACTATACCCTTACCACTCCCACTTCTATCCTTGCTTCTACACTAGTTGTGTTCGTTGAGCTCTTACTGGGTGCTGAGGCCTGAACGAGGCTCCCTTTCAATGGTGCCTCTCATGCAATGAGATACTTCACATCTGGTGCCAGTCATAGAGAAGACAGGAAGGTGGCAGGAGTGGTACCCATACTTCTATGCAGCATCTAAGCCATTTGGAAGTCAATTGGACAGGGATGCCCACAATTTCCACGGTCCAGGTCCTCTATGGAGTCAGACACTAGACAAAGGCTGCAGGAATGGAGGTCCACTAAGTTGTGGCATCTCCAAAAGACAAGAGAGAGATAGAGGTGGAACAGGTGTGGCTTCTGTGAAGCCTGGTCAGCTTCTGTCCAATGGCACAGGAGGATCAGGGAATGCTTAGTTTTATAATTTTGGGTCAGAAAATGTACAGTAAGGTTCAGTTTCTGCACTGGTTTATTTCCTTTCAGAAGGTGATGTGTATAACGCACGGACTCCTATCAAGGATACCCAAGAGGCGCTGGACGTCAGAGAGGACCCAGATATGAAGGTGGAGGTGCCTGTTGATCAGGTGGGTTAGCAGGCCTAGACCCTCTTGACTCTGCTGTGTCTTCTCCTTGCCCTAGCTTCATCTTCAACACCCCTGCCAAGTTCCTCCTGGTTTCTAGAAGGTTGCATGCCCCTTCAGTGATCTACCACCCATCCTTATGCTCATACCAGGCATTTTCTTGCCTGTCCCACTCTCCTTATCAGGTACTTCTGCTGCAGGCACCTGTTTAACACTTGTTTTGTGTTGACTGCATATTTGACTTGTCATTGTTCAGTTATTGTTTCTGTCACTGGCCAATCTGATTTTTACCAGGAGGTCTGCTGTGCTCACAATTATAGCCCCACACCTAGCAGGGCGTCTGGCATGCAGGTAGCCTTCACAATAATTGTAGAGTGCTGGAGTGATGGAATAAGTGTTGAAATAGGACAATATGATCATGAAACCTCCATATCTTCATCCGTAGGTGGGAATGACTCACGTGGTGGCCAAGGGAGGTAAGGCACATGTGAGAGCCCTGGCAAGGGCGTTCAGCCCTGTCTTCCTCCTCTGGCTGCATGGCAGAGCAAAGAGTAGAGTCCTAAGAAGTGTGGGTGAAGGGGGGACACAAACAAGGGGAGGGGATGCTGAAATCAAGGCCCACTAAGGTGGTAACTAGACTGAGGCAAAAAGAAGGGGTGATAGGGAGCTGGGGTGACATGGCAGCTTGTGGGGATTGCAGAGGAGCAGTAGGCACAGGGTGAGGAGTGCACAGAGGAGGAAGAGGCAATGAGTGGGCAAGCATTGGGTAGAGATCAGGAGGCTGGGATCCAGTCCAACACACCCGTCTTGTGGTTTGGTGCATCTTCATAGGCCTTGGGCACCATTGCTGCTCCTGAGAAGGAGAGATGGCCATATAAGCCCTGAAATCATTAAAGATACACTTTCAATTGTTAGTGTTGGAGAAAAGAATTTATGTTCTATAAAAGGTCATTATTAGCATTTGAATTCATTTTATTCCTCTTAACTAGAGTAGGTCCTGATCCCACCTTGGTAATTACAAAGTTTTTCACTCAGATCACCAGTGGGATTTTCCATGCCTCTTACCTTTCCCCCCTTTATTTTTAACTCCTGCTCTTCGTCATCTTCACACTTCCTTTGGCATTTGGAGTAATTTCCCTAGGAGTCCTGTTATATTTTCTAAATTATCATTTTCTTTCTTTTTCATGACGCAACAAATGACAAGCAAAAGAACTGGTTTTCTCTTAAAACCTAAGCTAACAATTTAAATTTTTTTTTGCATATTTAAGAATTTTATAGTAATTAGGAAATTAGGACATTTTGTGCAGTTACTTTTATGTGATGTTTGTCTTTGGTATTGATTTATTATTATGTATTTTATGGTTATAGATTGATATTATGTGGTACGAGTTTCACAAGCAGCCAAAAATCTCATATAGGAAAAACTGTCATAGCCATTGTGTATGACAAGCATGTTTGTGACTTTCAGTCGCTGTGTGCTTGATGGTCCTTGTATTTGAGGCTATGGATCGGAATTGCCATGATGGAATTCATGGATGGATGGAAGAGGATGGAAGAGGGCCAGATGGTGACCTGGGATGTCCCCTGTGATAGACATTTTGAAGGAAGGAGTTGTACCAGGACATGGCAGAGGGGGCTTTCAGAACTTTCTGTTCAGTGATTCTTCTCACTGGGTGATGTCTCAGTGAACTGAGACTTTGTCGTTGTCAGGTGACACTTTTAGTGCAGGTTCTGCGGCTGTGAGGGATGTGGCATGGAGACCTGCGGAGAGGAGCTGGTCAGCAGTCCTGCCTCTGGATCCTACAGTGAGGCACCTGGTTACATGAGCAGAGCCCTCAGGAGCAGAAGAACTGCCATCCCCTGAGCTGTCAGGTGGGGTGCTGGAGAGCTGGGCTTGGGGAGGAAGCTTTCTGCAGAGCAGGGCACTGGGGAGGAGCTGAGGAAGTCTCAGTGAGGGGCAGAACCTGGGCTCATTGCCCTGTCCCCAGGTCCTCGCTGTGGAGTCTGTTGATAAAAAGAATTTCAAGGCAGTTCACAAGGTAGAAAGTGGGCAGAGATTTTATTAGGCAAGTAGTGCAGACTAGCAAGCAAGAAGGAGTGAAAGAGGCCAACCCAAGTGCTTGGAGTGTAGGAGTTGGACACACTGAGGCTTTCTCCCATCAGGGCTATTTATACTCGCTAGAGGTTGGAGAGTCTTTTTGTGTATGTGTGTGTGTGTAGCAATATTGGGAGTGGAACTCAGGGCCTGGTGCTTGCTAGGCAGGCCCTCTATCACTTAAGCTGTTGCATAGTTTTGATGCTGTCACACAAGCATGGAGACATGGGTCTGGGGAAGTCTTGTAATCAAAGGGTCTTGTGACATGGGTGTCTATTTCTTCTGATCCAAAGACATTTTAAAGTTTTGGGTACATTACTCAATGTGGAACCAGGTCAGAGAAACTACTTCTATTGTATATTATATTTAATGGGGCTGATGGTTGGGGAGCTCTGATAAAAGGAATGTGTGTGCTTTGTGTACTCTTCTTAAAGAGTGTTTAGTGCAACAATTCATTCCAACTCTGCAGTCCTAGCAATTTTCAGTCCTACTTCCTGATTCCGGCTTGTTTTGATTCTCATGCTACCTGTCCCTATGCTTGCCTGCCTCAAGCACGCTGTGGCAAGTGGCTTGATTCGGTGTCTCCCACGTGCCCTGACCTGACATGGGGCCAGTGTTCCTCAAATGTTTATGAAGTCTGATGGAAGTGGATACAAGACTCCAAGGCACCGACAGGGCAGAGGACACTTTGATGTCTCTCCCTTGGGGAATCACAGTGTACTTTAGCCTGTTAGATGTTTCAGAGAAGTCCATGAGTCTGAAGTAACATTTAAGCTTTGGTTAATCTTGGCCATTTACCCACGGAAACTTTTCTTTTTCCTTTCCTCTCCTCTTCCCTCCCCTCTCCTTTCCTCCCCTTCCCTCCCCTCCCCTTTTCTCCCCTCTCCTCTCTTTCTTGCTAAGACACCCATAAAATGCAGGTTAGGTTCTTCCAGTATGCAGTTATCCAAGGCCTTTCTCTTTCCTGTGGAGCAGGAACACAGGATGGACCCAGAGGACTGTCTCTGATTGCTAAGGTAGATTCTGCTGTTGGGGCAGGCTGGGCCGGTAGTGTACTGCCTGATGGTACTGCTGACTTTCATAGCAATCTGTAACACTTTTCTCTTGGTTTTGTTAACTTTTGGGTCATCCCGAGCATCTCATGTGCTGTTTCTTACTATGCTTGCAACATTATACTCATGCAAGTTTAGTGTTGCTGTAATGAGAAAACTTCACAAAATATGACAGCTGATCAGTTTATGCATTTGGAGTCAAACTTTCTAGATTGAGGAAGAGAAACTCAAGACTTAGGAAACCTTAACCTCCCGGGGGATGATTCTTGCTAGTAAGAGAGCACTGGTGAAGAACAAAGTTACACCGGAGGGAAGTTAGAATTTCCCACGGTGGCATGGTTGTTGAGGTTTGGATGAGGAAGGGGCATGGGTGTCCCTTGCTCCTGCTATGGACATTAGATTATGTCCAGTTTTTGTGATCATGAGCAAGACTCTGGCACCATGGCCCCTTAATTGTTGTCTTTCCTTTGCCCCGGAGTGTAGAAGCTTCCTCCAGTACCTGCAGGTCAGTCTGGGAGCCTCTTCTACAGAGGACAAGAAGGAGGATGGCTATACTAGCTGTGGGCAGGGAGAGTGGAAATGTGGCTTCAAAGGCTGATCGCCAGTCTTGACAGTTCACGCTTATCATGCATGTCGACCCACAACTCTGATTCCTAAAATGTTCCCATTTTTCTGGTCTGCACTCCAGTTGTTTTCTTTCAAGTTTACTCTCAGAACCACACACACCTTTTATTACAATGGTAAACTTTGCCTGTTCCCTAACTTTTTTTTTTTGGTGGTGGTACTGGAGTTTGAACTCAAGGCCTCACACTTACTTGCTTAGGCAGGTGCTCTAACTTAGTCCTTTTTTGCTTTTAATTGTTTTTAAGATAGGGTCTCCTTCCTATGCCTCCTGGTAACTGGGATGACAGGTATCACCACACCTGGCTCATTGGTTCAGATTGAGTCTCACTAACTTTTTGCCTGGATTGGCTTTGAACTGTTATCCTCCCAATTTTTGCATCTTGAGTAGCTGGGATTACAAATGTGAACCACTGTGGCCTGCCTGTCTTCCAGCTTCTGTCACTTGGTTTCTACCAACGTACACATTTGCATTTGACTTCTGTACAGTTGACGCCTGCTTTAACTGTGCAGGTTGGAGGGTTCACACTTATATTCAGGGTTCCTGGTTGTCTTAGCAGTTCGTTCATACAGTAGAAGCTGGTGGATTCTTGTGGATCAAGGTCAAGGTGCCATGTTGGAGAGGCTGTTCCTTGATTGATTAAGAGACCTCAGTTATTTTTGTCCTCAGAGTGGTGAAGCTTCAAAGGACTGAAAACTTACTTGTCCTGAGCTCAGTGCTCTGTGCGCAGGGTGGGGGGCTGAGTTGGGGCTGCAGTGTACTGAAAGGGGGTAGTCCAGGACGCAGTCCTAAGATGCCTCGTGGCTGTTGGGGAGCAGGTGTTTGGCTGGTGGCTGTCTACATGATCCAAACTGTCATTCACTGTTAATGTTGCCTTTCCTCCCCTCCCAGGTTGGTTTTATTTTAAGGTATGGCAGTTTGTTTTAAAACTTTCACCTTCCTTGATTTTAATGGCAGGCAATGTATCCCCCTTCCCTTACTTCTACCCACAGAGTAAACTAAGGAGATTGCAAGGCAATCACACTAGGCATCTACATTATAAGTGTAATTCTCAGACAGTCACAGACCTTTACACTAGCATTATTTTAAAGTCCTGAGTGATGACATCCCACTGTTCAGGAACCACCTCTTGGCACTTATAATCTGCGCAAAAAATGGCACCCAATATTTGAACATTGATCTTGGAACTTTATCTGATTTAAGAACTACATTTTTTATAAGAGTAATGTCTTCTGTCAGGGATAAGATTGGGTTTACTAATGTAAATACTTTAAAAAGTAGACAGGTGCCTACAACTGCCTGCTCTGTTTATCCCTACATACTCCCCTTTGGTCACTTTAGAGGGAAATGATTCAGAATGTACTCTGTACATAAGCAATAATATTTAGTACACTGTTCCTAGGTGGTGAGTATTCTGTGTGCATCCCTGGTCTCCAGGTGAGGCGTGAGAAGCGTGGATTGACAGAGATCACGAAGGACTTGGTTTATTTCTGACAATTGGTCTGTTTTGTGCTGCCATAATTGAAAACCTGAGACCGGGGTATTTATAAGAACAGAAATGTGTTGGCTCACAGTCTGGTGGCTGGGAAGCTCAACACTGAGGACTGGGCGTATGACAAGGGCTGCCTTGCTGTGAACTCACATGACGGAAGGTGAGAGGCTGGGGGGCACTCCTGCATGATACATTGGTCCACTCCTGGGAGTGGAGCCCCTCCCTGATCGCCTCCCAGTACCATGGTGATGGCAACTGCATTTCAGCAGATGCTTAAGCATAGCACTGATCACACTCACACTCAGCTATTTCCTGAGTCCCAAAGAGCAGAGGCAAAAGGAGAGGGTTCATTTAGATCCCCGTGAGGCACGCAGAGAAGACGCCCTGAGCTGCACCTCCCCGGATTCAGTGCACTTCCCTCTGGAGAAAGAGCCAAGAAGTCACCAAGGTAAAACCAAAATGGTTTGGACTAATTAGGAGGTCAGACTACATTTGTGCACTCTGTGAATTGCTTAATTAGGAAAGCATAATGGAGCTTTAAACTGCCTGTGCTCCCAGGTGCATAGAACAGCTCAGATGAAGTCAACTCAGATCTCAGGGGTATCTTCTTTTGTGAATAAATTAAAACCTGCAATTAGCTTCTGTATCTGTGAGGATGTTTCAGCTATAAAAGGCAGAAAACTTGAGTGGCTTAAGCAATCAGGAACATTGCCATGCACGTGGAGGCCTCTGTGCGATGGAAAGTTGCAGAGGTGGCCAGCTCAGTGTCTCAGGGAGTATGGAACATACCCATCTTGCCGTCACCCTCCTGGCATCCTCAGCGCACTACCTTGGCCTTGGGCTTGCCTCCTGAGGTCTCAAGGGTTCTGTGCAGCACGTCAAGACCCGAGATTGCTGCCGAGAAGGATGGAGGCTGACTGCCCCTGATGTGTTCCTTACTTCAGCAGTGAGAGTCCTTCTGAGGAACCCTTGGGAAATCCTTGTCACCAGCCAGGGAGAGGCATCTGAGCCTTGGTATTTAGAGTGATCAGCGTTCACTTCTAGTTTCTAGGAATGGGGTCCAGGTTTCTCCGAACTGCATGACTAGTACTGAGCAATAATTGGTATTATTTTTTGTGGCAAGAAAAAGGTACAGGATGGCTGTAAGGTGGGCAACTGTCATGTCTACTCACGAGCATTTATACACCCACACGCCCTACCTCATGAGGAGGAAGACACTTGTCCCCCTGCCTGCGGCTCCCACTCCTCTGTAATTTGATTCTGACTCCTTAGAGATTCTTAGAAACCTTGTGCCAACAGTTATTGTCTAGAGAGATGACTATCCCCGCCCCTGGTGTGTACACTCATCTCCCCACCCTCGACTCCTGCTGTCTGCAAATGTGCCAGAGCTGACTTGTTATAAACCCTTGTGGGCCCTGCTTTGCTCTCTCACTCCCCTTTGAGCAACACCTGTGTCTTCCTGAGGTGCAGGGCCAGCCTTTGCGTCATCTCTTCTGGCTTCTGTCCATGATTGTGTGGGGCAGCCCTCAACTCCCTGCCACCACATCCAGCAAGTTCCTCAGTTGCCAACACGCTCACTGTTGACCACTTCACCACCAGTCAGCCCTTCCACTGCTCTCTCTCTTCCTCTTGCACGTCTTGCTAGTTCAGTCTTCTGATTTTCCTTCTGTCTCGATGGCCACTCTTCCTCTTTCTTTCTAGGCTCCTGCTCTTCTATGTATGTGGCCACTGAATGTTGGGGTTCAGTGAGGATCAGGGTGGGGCATCTTCTCTCCTCACTCTGTATCAACCTTGCATTTATATGAAGTCACCATGGCTGTGAAGCCTGTGCAGACCTCTCTCTCCTGGATGTCAGCTGGGCTGTGTCTCCCTTCACATGTTCTCAGACACTGGAGCTTAGCAGGGTGAGAATGTCCCAGGGTCTCCTCCCCTCTGTCTCCAGACCTTGTTCCCTACCTGTATCAGAGCATGCGTGATGCCCCCAATCCATCGGGTAAGAAAAAAGAAACACAAGCAGTTTCTGGAGACCCACTGTCTACCCTTCCATAACCAGGACATCCTAAGCACCATCAATTTGGCCTCATAGTCGAGTCTGGAGCCTCTCCACCCCTCTGCCTGAGCCCCATCACTCCAGTCACACCTAGCAGCATCTCATGGCCATATTGCTGCTGAGCCTCTTGTCCTCTATGCTCTGACCAGTGCTTCCTCCTGAGACAGGGCAGCCCCCTGTTGGGGTCTCCAAGGATGCACCAGAATTTGGGAAGGAAGTGTCTGGTGACCAGAGGCATCTGGAGTGACCACTGTGCTCCTTTCTACACAAAGGGTTCATAGTATCTCTTCCTAAAGATTTCTCCAGCAATTTTGTCCAGCAGGTTGTTGTTTCCTTGGTGGAGCCAAAGGTAAAAACAGAGCAGATCGACCTGAATTTGGAAAAAGTGCAATGGCTTTCTAGCTCTGTCCCTGGTAGTGGTCTAGAAAGTTGTGCTGTTTTCATTTGCTCTCTGTGTTTTCATGAGCTTGGCTATGGCCATGCCTAAGAGCTTCAACTATGGCTGATTTGAAATATGGTGATTTTCTCCCTAGGTACCAGCTGAAATAGTCAAAGAAGATGACGAGGTACATAGTGACACCCCCGATTATGAAGGCAACAAGGTGAGTTAATTTTGTTTGTTGTTAAGGGCTTGGGCGTTTGGCACCTCCTGGTCTAGGGTTCTCACATGATGAGCAGAGCTCACGTTGGATGGGAAGGGATCCAGGGCCAAGGTCAGTTCCAGAACACAAAGGAGCTTGTGTTAGAAGCATTGTACAAGTTTCCCTGGTGGGCTGTGGCTTGGTCGGGTCTCCTGCTTGCCAGGAAGTCATGTGGGTAATTCCGATGGCTTGTCCTGACATGTCTTGATCACCTTACCCTGCACTTCTGAGCAAAACCTAAATGTTTTCCCCAACAAGTTTCAAGGTGCTGGTGGGGACAGCAGCCACTGTGTGGGTGGCTCCCTCTGACCACTGCAAAGGTCCCTGTCCCTGAAGGTGCAGGTCACCAGGCTCTTGTGGGGACGTGGGACTGCACATGGCTGTCTGCAGATGGCAGCATGGGCTCACACAGCACGCGGGCTGTGTGCGTGTTTGCTCTTCTTCCTGTCATCCAGGCAGGCAGCGTGTTTCCATGGTCCTCTGAGGCCAGGTGACTAATCTACATAAAATACACACTTTGGGAGAGCAGGACCATTCAAATCCAGGCTAAGGAGTGGAGCACTGAGCTTTGTTTTCAACAATCTCTCTCTAGACATTCTGCAAGGCAGTTTCCTATTGAGATGTTTGGTCTCAGGCAGAGGCTCTGTGAAAATGGGAGGCTGGGCTGACTGGGCCAACATGGAGTCCTCCAATGCTGTGCATGAACTCGGGCAGCCAGGTGGCCCTGGGAGCCACAGCTTCCAGCTTCTGAGCTGAGGAGATGGGAAATGACTCAGGCTGATGAGAGGGTGCTGGGGCTGCCCACAGGTTCCCATTTGTCACCCAACTTGGCAAGGGGCGTTTGTGGGGAAGTTTGATGGGGAGCTTGGGATCCAACATAAAGAGAACAGTGCCTGTCAGAGTCTGTTCCTGTCTTTATGTCCTAGAGAGTTTGGATTGGCAATTTTTAGTGAAAGTCGTCACCATCTGTGTCTGGATGAGTAGATAGTTAGGGAGCACTCTCTAATTTGAGCAAAGGTCATGTTTAATTTTTTTTGTTAGAGAGAGCAAGTCTGTTCTGACAGTGGGAACAATGATGAAGATGATTGCCCAAAACATCAGGCAACAAGGGTGAAAGTCCACTTGCTTCTGATGGGGGTGGGGAGAGGAGGATGCTGCTCATTTTACCAGAGTCTGGAGGCATGTTTGAACAGGTGCACAGGGAGCACAACTGCCCTGAGTTCATGGTGTCACCTGAACACCCTATGCAGGCTGGCATTGCTTGTCTGACTTCTAGGAGCAGTCACACATGCTAGCAACTGGAGGTCAGCCTGCAGAAGATTTAATTTCTTAGAATTAACCACAACATCTTTCTTAATGCAAACGCATTGCCAGAACAGCAGCTGACCAGAGCACCTAGGCTTTAGGTGGCCGATACTGACCATGGGAGCAGCCAAACTTCTCTTCTAGTGGTGTGGCAGGGGACAGGGAAGGGCTGGAGTGAGCTTGTTAAAATGTGCCAAGAGCTGCTGGGTGCCCTATGCTGTCTAAGAGAGAGAGAGAAGAGAGAGAAAGAGGGAGGAAAGGAGAGAAAGGGAGATAGTGATGGTGATGCTTGGAGCGTATAAATTGCCAGTGAGGAAGTGATGGAGCCTGGATCTAGATTTGAATGATCCCGAAGACTGTGTATTTTCTTCTTCTTGGTCACCTCTGATCTCCTAGAAGACATATGTGCTCTGGGGTTTCTTTGTCTGTCCCTGGTACACACGATGGAACTAACTGTGTGGTGCTCTGGGCTGTTTCAGCAGTGTTGACGTCCGAGAATGTTTTAGTTCTGTCAGATCCATGCTCTCCCTCTCTGCTTCTCTCTAGGATTGAACAGAACATTCTTGGTGAACTCTTTTCTTCTTGCTGTGAAATGCTACACAGAGTTGAAGGTCTTTGGTCCTAAACTCTAGCCTGTGCTTTGATGGCTCAGAGTGAACAAGCACTTTGCATGTGTTGTAATAGCTTGTGGTGACACTTGAGAATGAAGTGCCAGCCCACCAGCTTTCCTGCTCACAGGCTGCGCGGTCCACACCTGCTTGTCAGGAACTGCAGTGGTGCTGGCATTCCATTTGTGCATTCATTTGACAAGTCACCCACAGGCCATTTGTTTGGGTATTGAATCTAGCAAGTGTTTTAGGCTTATTATTGCTGACTTGACCTCCCCTCAAACACACCGTGGCATGCTTAGGGCTGAGATGGTGGATGCCTTGGGTCCTGCATATCCTTCACACTGTCTTATACTCAGTGGATGTTTAAAAACCTATATGGGTTGGATTTCAGTTACTTTCACCAAAATGTTTAAACTTAACTATGCAATCCAGTAGTAAAGTGCTACTTGCCTGGTGAAGTTTTTTTTTTCCTTTTATTATTCATATGTGCATACAAGGCTTGGTTCATTTCTCCCCCCTGCCCCCACCCCCTCCCTTACCACCCACTCCACTCCCTCCCTCTCCCTCCCACCCCTCAATACCAGCAGAAACTATTTTGCCCTTATTTCTAATTTTGTTGTAGAGAGAGTATAAGCAATAACAGGAAGGACAAGGGTTTTGCTGGTTGAGATAAGGATAGCTATACAGGGTATTGACTCACATTGATTTCCTGTGCGTGGTGTGTACCTTCTTAGGTTAATTCTTTTTGATCTAACCTTTTCTCTAGTTCTGGTCCCCTTCTCCTATTGGCCTCAGTTGCTTTTTAAGGTATCTGCTTTAGTTTCTCTGCGTTAAGGGCAACAAATGCTAGCTAATTTTTAGGTGTCTTACCTATCCTCACCCCTCCCTTGTGTGCTCTCGCTTTTATCATGTGCTCATAGTCCAATCCCATTGTTGTGTTTGCCCTTGATCTAATGTCCACATATGAGGGAGAACATACGATTTGGTCTTTTGGGCCAGGCTAACCTCACTCAGAATGATGTTCTCCAATTCCATCCATTTACCAGCGAATGATAACATTTCGTCTTCTTCATGGCTGCATAAATTCCATTGTGTATAGATACCACATTTTCTTGATCCATTCGTCAGTGGTGGGCATCTTGGCTGTTTCCATAACTTGGCAATTTGTGAATAGTGCTGCAATAAACATGGGTGTGCAGGTGCTTGGAGTAACCTGTGTCACAGTCTTTTGGGTATATCCCCAAGAGTGGTATTGCTGGATAAATGGTAGATCAATGTTTAGCTTTTTAAGTAGCCTCAAATTTTTTTCCAGAGTGGTGTTACTAGTTCTACATTCCCACCACAGTGGTAAGAGGGTTCCTTTTCCCCGCATTCCTCGCCACACCTGTTGTTGGTGGTGTTGCTGATGATGGCTATTCTAACAGGGGTGAGGTGGAATCTTAGTGTGGTTTTAATTTGCATTTCCTTTATTGCTAGAGATGGTGAGCATTTTTTCATGTGTTTTTTGGCCATTTGAATTTCTTCTTTTGAGAAAGTTCTGTTTAGTTCAGTGGCCCATTTCTTTATTGGTTCATTAGTTTTGGGAGAAGTTTTAAGAGAACATGAAATTATGAACATTATTTAAATATACATATACTGCTGACATTTGATCACAGAATTTCTGCTGTCATTTTTGGGAAACCTTTGAGTAAAAGATGCATAACATGAAATTGTCTATTTTAACCATTTTATTAAGTATGTAACTTAGTGGTGTTACTTATATTCATAATGAGCAGTCATCACTACTCTTCATGTTTAAGACACTCTCATCCCACAAGCAGAGTCTGTACGTGTGACGCGCAGACTCCCCTCTCCCTGCTCATCAACCCCAGGTGGAAGGAGCCAGGCAGATGCGTGCCAGGAGCTGCTCAGGCTCTGGCCTGGGAGTTATGCACAAGTGCGTCTATTTTGTTATATGTGTAAAGTCCGAATAAAAAGTATGCTTTTGTATGACACCTCTCATCCTCAGAGCTCTTAAGGATGCTGATTATACAACTCTGGCAATATTTAGCACGTTAATAACATTTTGCATCATCAAAATGGAATATTATCAGCATTAATTAGCTAATTTGAAAAACTCTCCTGAGATATAGTAAGAGGAAATGTACTTTTACCTTTCCAAATTGTGTTCATTGAGTACAATTTTTGTCACAGTGAGTACCTGAGTACAGGCTGAAGCAGTGGACTGGAGTTGTCCAGCTCTTGTTGCTTGGGTTGTTTGGACCCATGGATTGTAAATGTTTCTTGTGCAAACTGCACTTGTGAAAAAATCCATGCTACCTGCTGAACTTTGTAAGATCATATGTGAGGATTTTGAAGATTCAGCTCCTTTCTGAAGGAGTATGGGGGGTATTGAAGGCCACGATGACTAATAGACCATGTACTCCAAAGGCAGTGTGAGTTTCCTCAGTGTGGTCTGTAGCCAGCTCTGCAGGGAGTCACGGAGAGGGCTCAGGAGCAGGAATGTCAGGTCCTGTGGGACTCGCACTGATTCTGAGGTCTCAACCTTTTAATAGTGTTTATGTTTTCCTACCTTTGAGATGGTTGATGTACTTCTATTTGAGAATGGATACAGAATTTTTAAACCTGTTGACTAATGTAAAAAGGAGAAAAATAGAGGGGATGAACCAATTTGAGTTATAATACATATATACATGCAAATGTCACAATGAAACACGGAGAACAGGAAGGTAAACAGGTCCTGTCTGAAGGTTGGTATCTGGGTGGCTGTGGGGAGGATATAAGGAAAGAATGTAAGAGGGTGAATATGTCGGAAGTATGCACTCACATATGAAAATGGAAAAACAAGACCTGCTGAAACTATTCCAAGAATGAGGGGTGGGGAGATAAAGAAGATGATGGAGGAGGTGAGTTCAACTTTGATATAGCGTAAGAACTTTTGCAGATGTTATGGTATACCCCCAGTACAACAATAACATGATAATAAAATAAGTTTTCCTACCTTGGAAAGGTTTGTGTAAAACTTTCGTGGCCGGTTTCCTGAGT